GCCAAAGTCAGATGCTCAGCCGACTGAGCCACCCAGGCGCCCCTAGTCTTTTTTAAATAAGCATTTTATTTGTTAGAAAAATGGTCTCTCTGAGTTTAGAGATCTCTTTCAATTTCAAAAATATTTTCCTTTAATCTCTGAAAATAATTTGCATACTTTTGTGCAGTTTATATCTTACTTCTCACGTCTTATTTCTGCCCTAGTTTCAAGGTCTTGAAGGTCGAGAGAATTTAGCCCGAGACCTAGGTATTATTGAAGCAGAAGGTACTGTGGGTGGACCTTTATTATTAGAAGTGATCAGACGTTGTCAACAGAAAGAAAAGGGATCAACCAACGGGGAGGTGAGTACAGTCCTAGCCTTCGTTATCTTTTTTTATTTTAAGTATTGGCTGCTCAGCAGAGCCACGCACGTGTTTGCATACATCGTGAATCGGAGTTTAAACGGAAAGAAGCTGTTCCCTTAGAGCAAAACGAAACACACTCAGATTGTACACACGCACAGTTTGAGGAAAATCGGAGAAATGGTAGCTCCCAGTCTGGAGCTGCACTCGTTGTGTAGACGGACGTGGGGGTGTTGGGGTCAGGGGCCAGGCTCCCTGGAACGGGCTCCAGCTCGTCCACCCACTAGCCGTTGGCTCTAGGTGAGCCGTCCCTCCCCAGTGGCTCCTGTGTGGGGTGGGGAGAGAGGCCGCCTCACGGGCATCGCGGAGCCTGATGCAGGAGTTAGTGCACGCGAAGCGTGGAGGACACTGCGCTTGTTGTTAGCCGCTGTCTGGTTACCATTTCAACCAACAGGGCTGCATTAGAGGCTGGTTAACAACACTTTGAACTTAAAGGCTTTTGAAAAAGAGACGTAGAGCCGGTTAAGCTGTTGGTCATGCTTAGTTTCTGGACATTTCCAAGCTTCTGTGTTCTTATTCCTTTTGTTTAGAAATCCCACTAATGAGGTTAATGGTCTGATTTCTATTTGCAAACGTTAGCTTTATGTAAAGACGCTGTCTCACAGATGTGGATGGTATGGTAGTCGTCTCAGACACCTGGCTGATGGTGTGCTTTTAGTCCCACGAGTCCCGGGTTTATAGGTAAGGTTGTGGGGGTTGCGCACTGCCACGTACACAGCCTCAGAGTTTATTTTCTGTTAGGATCTTTGAACATCAGGAAAGCCTGACTGAGCACCTGTTACATGTAAGGCCTAACAGACACTTCCAATGAAAAGATAAGATATGAGAACGTTTCTTGGACTAGAAGAGTTGAGAGCTATTCAAGCTGGAATGCGCTCACGTAAGGAAACAGACGTTGACGTGACGCTCGCGATACCAGAGGGAGTATCCAGCAAGTGATTGGTTCTGAGCATTTTACGAGCAGTAAGGTTAGTTAAAGGGGGCAGTGGTTTCTTTTTTTAATTCAGTGTTTACTTATTTTTGAGAGAGAGTGGGAGAGAGACAGAGCATGAGCAGGGGAGGGGCAGGGAGAGGGGGAGACACAGAATCGGAAGCAGGCTCCAGGCTCTGAGCTGTCAGCACAGAGCCGGATGCGGGGCTTGAACCCATGAACCGGGAGATTGTGGCCTGAGCCGAAGCCGGACGCTTAACCAGCTGAGCCCCCCGGGCGCCCCGGGGGCAGCGGTCGTTTCCAGTCGTTAAACCCCATCTTGCTGCGGGAGGACAGGAGGGGACAGGACCGGGAAGGTGTCCCGAGCGGCAGGAAGCAGACCCGCGTCACGGTGAGACCCGCGTCCCGGTGGGTGAGCAAGTCAGCCCACGCAGAGCCCACGTTGTCGCTCAGCTTGTGGGTGTAATTTCACTCGTTTGTAGTTGTTTCCCCAGTGTCTGGTGGTGCTTATCATGGGATGGGCGTCGTACCAGCTAGTGGCGAAGAAGAAGTCGCATAAACTTAAGGAACTCCAGACCTCCTCGCTTCCTGCTCTCTCCTGGGCCGGTGGGTGGTGGTGAGCCGTGTCTGTCTGCCTGCCCTCCTCTTTCCTTCCGGGTCGCCCTTCGGTCCATCTCCCTGAAGCGCCAGCCACCCGCGTCGTCGTCGTCATCTCTGGTTCGCCGTCCCTCCCTCACGCGCCAGCCTTGGCTCGGACGTGGAGCCGGGCTGCTGGGGTCACTCCCGGAGGTCACTTAACCTTCACGCGCCCTGGGTCCTCACCTATGAGACGGAGAGACTAGAAATGAGCCTCGAGGGTCGTAGTGCGGACCGAGGTCGTCCGGGCACGTAGAGGTCTCGTAAGGTTTGGCCTGTGTTGCCACCGTGTCTCGTGTTGTTACCATTCCCGTCAGGAGGGCTCCCCACATCCGGCTCAGCGCCTCCTCCCGGCTCGAAACCAGGATTTCCAGCCCTTCACAAACATCCCCGCCTGGTCGGCTCACTCGGGCGTCTGAGTCCTGTGTGAAAAAACCGGCTTTATCTTCTGACTGAGCGGAAGCCGCACGAGACACAGAAATCCGCCTCCTCCCGCGTGACCGCGCAGCCCCAGCTCTCGCCCTCCGCTTCTCTGTGTGTGTCGGTCGTGTGCCTGTGCCTCCTCGGTCTCCCTCCGAGGAGCTGCCTCTCCCCTGGTGGCCTCGGTCGGTCCCTCCGTCAGGAGGACTCCCTGTCCCACCTGAAGCCGCTGTCACCGGCCAGCTCTGTGTGCTGTGGACGGGGTGGGGGGGGGTCGGCCTCGAGCCGGGACCCTGTCAGAGCTGTCTCTCCCAGTGGGTTCGGTCTGAAAATGGAAACTCAGCGGTGCCTTCTTCCGTCGTCGTGACCGGAGGCCCCGGCGCCTCCCCGATCAGCCTAGCCCGTGTCACGGCCGCGGTCTGTCGGACGGGCCCGGAGGAGGCTTCCGTGGCGTCACGAGGACGGAGACCGCTGCGAGATACCTACTTTCTGCTACTTTTCCCCTCTTAATATTGGGGTGTGTACTTCGCGTGTGCGTGTGCGTGTGGGTGCACACAAATAAATCCGGAGTCGAGTTCATATTTAAAGTAGGGAACTCACAGGTGTCCATTTTGGCTCTTCTGTCATTCACTAGTGTTCATAACTTTGAGAGGAAGCCTGTCGTTTATATAGTGAAATAAAAAATGGTAGGTTTTTTTTAAATTAATCTTTGACTTCTGATGCCGGGGAAGAAAACCAGCTGTGGATTAAGCCCACTGAACTCAGTGATGCCTTTACCCAAATTGCATTTTATTTTATTTTATTTTATTTTAAAAAAAAAAATTTTTTTTTTAACGTTTATTTATTTTTGAGACAGAGAGAGACAGAGTATGAACGGGGGAGGGGCAGAGAGAGAGGGAGACACAGAACCAGAAGCAGGCTCCAGGCTCTGAGCCATCAGCCCAGAGCCCGACGCGGGGCTCGAATTCATGGACCGTGAGATCGTGACCTGAGCTGAAGTCGGATGCCTAACCGACTGCGCCACCCAGGTGCCCCCCAAATTGCATTTTAAACCACCTGAAGAATCCGGTTGCCGGGCCCGCATCCTCGCCCGGGACTTTGAGTTGATTTGGCAGAGGGTGTTGGATGTGCCCCCGCGTGGAGTCCCGCCCTCGCCGGTCTGCACTGCCCCTGGTGAGCCCTGTCCTCCCCGGGAGCGCCTCGTGGTCGCCCCCGTCCAGCTCAGCGGCACCTGCGGGTGCCCTCGGCGCTCGGTCTGCACCCTTCGCTCTTGCCGACTCCGTGTTGAAGCTCAGCTCTTCGTCTGTTCCTTTCCTCTTTAGAAATTGCACTCACCGTGTGGTGGCAACCAGACAGCGTCCAGATTCCTCAGTCTTGACGCGTCGACTCGTCTTTCTGGCCTTACGTCCTTTTTTGAAACGTGGGACCTTGAGCTTGAGGCAGATGGCTCGTCCTTGAAAGTGGCTTTTGCTTTCTCGCCTTCTGATCCCTTGTCCCCCTGCAGTGGCACATCACCCCCGCCTCCGGCCGGGGAGTTTCTCATTCCCAGCCTCTCTTCCACTCTGCCTTTTGGGATGTTGCCTCTTGTTCGTCCTCTCTCCCTGCTGGCTGCCGTTGGAGCTGAGCCCTGGCCCCACCTGCCTGTGGCCGTGCCTGCTGTGGCCCGGCCCTCTCTCCTCACGTCAGGCCTCTGTTGGGGACAGGCATTCTTAACAGATTGGGCGTTCACGGTCAGTGGGAAGCTTTTGTAGACTTGCGTCCACGGGAGGTACACGTTTGTACACGTTTGGGAAGGTTAGATGGCGAGATCGGGGGAAGGCGGATCTCGACCAGGACGGTGGCTGTAAACACAGAGACAAACGGGCAGAAAAAGATCCCCTGTGAAGGAAGAAGCGGCCAGACCGAGTGAGCTAATATCTTGGCAGAGGGCTAGGGCCTTGGAGGGTAATCGGGAAGAAGAGAAGTTTGCAGAGGTGAGGTGAGGCGGTCAGCGTGGGACAAGGCGACGCCGTTACTCGACGTCACGGGGCCGCCGGAGGAGCGAAGGTGTGCAGCGCAGCGTGTTTTCGCGTTTAAAAGCTGCAGTTGTTGGAAGGGTTCTTATGGCAAAGTGACCGATGTTTAATACGCATATGGTGCACAGAGCTTGTGATGATGGAGCGGGTGAATTTTAGGAGGTGATTTCCGTTCAAGAAACATGGCAGAATTCCTCCTTTGCGTTCAGCGTAGCGCCGAGAGCTGACCGGCCGTGCGCTGCTGCCCTGCAGACGGTGGTTGTGTGACGCGGACGTGGGCGGTGACGGGCGGTGACAGGGCTGGACGGGCACTGGGCTCAGAGAGGAGGAAGGGAGGGGCGTGGTCGTCGAAGAGGGCGACTCATGAGAGTTGCCCGTTGATACGATGGAGACACAGCGGGGTAGGGAAGCGGTCTGCAAGCAGGGCTGTGGCTCACGGCCGGGTTCACGCGGGCTGGGCGGGGAGACTGGGTCAAGGTCATTGAGCGAAATACTTAGGTGATTGGGATCTAAGTGTGTTTCGTTTTGTTTCTGTTGTAGTAAAATTGGGGAAAATCTCATAAGAATATTTACGTTAATTACAAAAACACCAACGTCCTGTAGTAGTTTTAAATGCTACAATTCCGTTGAGGCATGATTAGTATATTTATGTTTTGCTCTGAACCTGTTTTAATTTTAAACTGTGAAATGTTTTAGGGTGCGCTAGATCTCTCTGATGTGCATTCTCCACCGAAGTCACCGGACGGCAAGACGAGTGCACACAGCGGTCCCAGCAAGGTGAGCCGGCCGCGGGGACTCTGCTGCTGTCTCTCCAGTCGCGTGACTGACGCCAGCGCTGCGTAGTTTCACGAAGACGCGTCTTTCCCCTGATGCAGCATGTGGTTTTACAGATTATTTCCCTTGGTTGGGACTGTGTTGAATTTTGTGTCCTGGAGAGGAATATGCTGTTGAATAACAGAATTGGGGGATCTGTGGGCTCATGTGGTCCTTGGAACATCTTCTTCCTCAGTTTGGTCCTTGGAACATCTTCTTCCTCAGCTGACCAGGACATTTACTTACTCTTCGCTTATACATTCCTGGCTCGAGGGTACTAGGTTCCAGACTGTGGTTCCAGGATATCGTTGTGTTGAATATCGCAGATGGGGGACCAGTTTGGATGGTAAATTACAAGGGTTTTATGTTAGCGAGCCATTTGGAGGATTCATACGAACGTACGTTTGCTCTGGCTGCGTGCGTAGGGGGCGGCTATGGGTTGTTGAGCCGAGGCCTTCCGGTCTCAGGGATTTGGCACCCTGGACAGGACTAGAGCGGGACCCTGGGACTGGAAGCCAGGGGCAACAGGGCGGCAGAAGCAGGACGCTTCAGGAGCGTGCCGCCCCGTGACCGGTCGGGCGCAGCGCACACCGGTGGAACGGGCCAGTCCTAGCCGGGGTGGGGTGGGGTCGGGTCGGGTGGCGTTGGGACCGTCGCTCTGATCTCCAGCCCGCAGGGTTAGGGTGACGCGCTGGAGGGGCTGTGCGGGTGGTTCCAGGTGAGGCGACGCGTAGGGGCCGGACGTGGTAGAGGGGGTTTCTCTGTCTCAGACGCCCGGGCTCAGACACCGTGAGCGGTCCCTGCTGTGTTGTCGCCGGTTCTTGGATGTGGCTGCTCCTTTTCATTTTTCCGATTTGGAGACCAAAGGGTTTGGTGCTTTATTTCCTGCCGCGGGAAGGGGCCATCATCCCGTGTGTAGCGGTCCCCTCTCCCCGAGGTCTGGTGAGCTTTTTCTGTGGGGAAGGTTTTCCCTTGATGCTCATGGGAGGCCGTGACCACAGTAACAGAGAGAACGAGGTTGTGAGTGAATTTAAGAAGACCCTTTAAATGAATTGTCAGCTGTCAGAGCCTTTGTGAGCAGCACTGCTTTCTGTGAAAATGTCTGGCTGGGAAGGGGTTCAAATTAACGCATATTCCAGAACATCAGTGCCCACAGCATTGAGCTCTCTGGACGCTCTCTCTTTAGCAGAGTAGCAGTATTTTTTTAAAGCCAATTAGCAGCACCGACTTTTGCACGCGGTGGGTCTTCAGGATAAGATAGCAAAGCCTTTCACATGTTCTTACTCTCTGTGCACAGACTTAAGTTTCAAGATCTAGGAGTTTTGATGAGGATCGTTGAAGTTAGCTGGCGGGGGAACGGTGCCCCACGTGCTCACAGGACAGTGATGTCGTCTTGAAGGGTGATTGAGAGAGCGGTCCTCCGTGCTCCGGGTGCCGTGGCCGCTCCCGGTGCCACGGCCGACTCGTGTCAATGGGAGGCCTTCTGATGGTGGGAACGCGGTTCCCGGTAGCGCTGACGTGTGGATTCGGAGTTTTGGCACTTTCCCCACCTTTCACTCGCCTGCTTTCTTTTACGGCTCGGTGCTCTCTGAATCATTTTGGGCTCTGAGGAGAGCCTGTGTCTTAGAGCAGGTGCCTTACCGGCCCGGGAGCCCACAGAGGGGCCTGGGGACCCTGGGAAGTCGTGGTCAGGCCTTGGGGCCAGCCCGACTTTCGGAGCCCGTGCCGTGTGCTCCCGAGGAAGCTTCGGGAAGCCGGGCCCGGGAGGGCCCGGAGGAGCGGTTGCCCGCACAGCTGCCGTGGGGCGGGCTGCGGCCGCGGTGTGGACGGGTGACCGGGTAGCCGTGAGGCCCAGCGGTTCCCCGTGGGTTGAACCACTTGAGGAAAGGAGTTAAGGCAAGAGAAGAAAAAAAAAATAGTGGGCCTCTAAAAGGAACAGATTGATTCAGGTTTCCAGTTTTAAGAACTTTGCTAATCGGAAGCTTCGTTAGTTTGGTGATGAATTAGTTTCTTTTTGAAGATATATGCTTTGTGGTAAAATGTCATTTTATTCTCATGCTCAGATACCAAGGTACACAGGACAAGGTAAGAAGAAGACAAGCAGGCGGAAGTCTGGTGCCAAGGTAACTCGCGCGAGGGCAGAGGGGGAGTGCAGCCCGCGCCACAGCAGACTGCCAGCCTGGGGGCCGTGGGTCCCTGCCGGGTACTGGGTCCCTGCCCGCCCCGGGCCCATGCTCCTTTGTCTGCGGTCACTTGTGATAAAGTCACGGTGCCGAGAAAAGTAATCTGACTTTCAGTTTTTATCCGGGTGAACATCATACTGTTGTATTTTTCAAATGTGCTGTTAATTTTACTTCGAGAATTCTTTGTTTTGTCCAAAAAAAAAGTCGAAAATATTTATTTTCCCTTTGGATGGTCCTATACATATTGTTTTTACAAATTTTTTTTTTAATGTTTTTATTTATTTTTGAGAGACAGAGCATGAGCAGGGCAGGGGCAGAGAGAGAGGGAGACACAGAATCCGCAGCAGGCTCCAGGCTCCGAGCTGTCGGCACAGAGCCCGATGCGGGGCTCGAATTCACAAACTGTGAGATCATGACCTGAGCCGAAGTCGGATGCTCAACCGACTGAACCACCTAGGCGCCCCTTTAAAAAAAAAAAAAAAAAAAAAAATTTTTAACGTTTTTATTTTTGAGACAGAGAGAGACAGCATGAGCAGGGGAGGGGGTCCTATTCTTATTCTTAACGTTATGATTTTTATCTGAGGTAAATAGAACATCAGACTACTTTTTGGATAAGTTCCGGGCGATAAATGAAAGGTGTTCAGCATTCAGCAACTCACCTTCCCGTTGCACATCGATGTCGATGACGAGTCTTTCCACGAAGCCCTGGCCGTGGGGGTGCCTGGGGCGGGGGGTGTGTGGGGGTGCACAGGGTAGGCGCACTGAGTCGTCAGGAATCTGTGCCTGGCTGCGTTTTTTTCCTCGGCCAGAGATGACAAAAATTGACCCAGCCAGTAGATTAGCTGCTTTTATTTATTTATTTAAAAAAAATTTTTTTTTTCAACGTTTATTTATTTTTGGGACAGAGAGAGACAGAGCATGAACGGGGGAGGGGCAGAGAGAGAGGGAGACACAGAATCGGAAACAGGCTCCAGGCTCCGAGCCGTCAGCCCAGAGTCCGACGCGGGGCTCGAACTCACCGACCGCGAGATCGTGACCTGGCTGAAGTCGGGACGCTCAACCGACTGCGCCACCCAGGTGCCCCTAGATTAGCTGCTTTTAAAATTTAAGTATTAGAGTTCTTGGAAGCACACTACTCATCAGGACAGTTCTCATACCTGTTTAGGATAAGATATTTAAGGTATTTCGTTTTTAGTTCTGTGAGATGCTTCCGTTCTTGTGGAACCTTAGCTTATAATCGAAGACCTTCAAAATTAAAGGGCTTTTAAACCCTGGATTTGTTGTGTTAGCTGCCTTCATTCTTGTGGTTTCACCAGTAAATTCCCGTTATTGTACTTTTTCGTGTCGTCTGTGTGTGTTTCTACGTGAGAAGACCCTTTAGAGTGGTATTTAGCAGGTACGTTTGAACACGTGTGCGGTGCACATCACTGTGTTAAGCGCTGTGGGCACTTCACCGTGGTCCCCACCGAAACAGGTGACAGTCTCATTGGAGAGGTGAGGCCCCTCTTAAGAAAGATGGCTAACGATATAAAACAGCGTAGTTTTTTTAAAGATACATTTGATCAATTTGTTGGACTTTTCAAAAACGTTAAAAGCATATTTCATAGTATTACATTTTCATCCAATCTTCCTGGTTCAGACATTTCGAAGAGGTCTATACATAGAACCAAAGCACGTCAAAAGATGAATTTTCACTTTGTAGTGAAATGCAGCCGTGGTGGGCCCAGACTTTACCCTTCAGTCTACAGCGGGCAGGCCTCGTGGTCCCCCGACCTGGGGGGGCGACTGAAGAATGTGGACAGGCCCATGCCCTGGAATTGTAGGCTATCAGTCGGGCCCCTTTTATTTCATTTTTGTATTTCTTTTTTTTTTTTTTTAATGTTTTTATTTATTTTTGAGACAGAGAGAGGCAGAGCATGAGCAGGGGAGGGGCGGAGAGAGAGGGAGACACAGAATCAGAAGCAGGCTCCAGGCTCTGAGCTGTCAGCCCAGAGCCCGACGTGGGGCTCAAACTCACGGACCCTGAGATCATGACCTGAGCCGCCGTCGGACGCTCAACCGACTGAACCACCCAGGCGCCCCTCATGTTTGTATTTCTGACCAAAGATACTTAGCCACTTTGAAACCTTCCCCCGCTCCCCCCCTCCTTGATCTTGTTTCTGAATTGCCATTATAAATCTGTATTGCACCCAGCATCCCCTATTTCCAGCCTGATAGGTGAGCCCTTAGCTCTCATTCCAATGCCTCTCTGCCTTGCCTGCATGTGCGGTGGGTTTCCAGTGTCCTTAATATCCTAACACTCTTAACATCTTAATAATCAAATACCGAGCTGCCTGTGGACGTTGACGTTGGGTCCTTCACAGGGTAGCTAGGTGGCCTTTCCCAGGGTGCAAAGCTGTGAGCGTGGCCCCGCCTGCCAGGAGCCAGTGTGGGGACCACGGGCGGAGCGGCAGGAGAGCCCCACGCCGAGCAGGGAGCAGGGGTGTGGACGGGTCATGTTCTTCTGCAGGCAGGAAGCAGGAAGGCTCAGGACTTAGGGCTTATTTGGAGATCCTTGGCTGTTTTCAGAGAAGTTATATCCATATTAGAAATGAGCTTCAAAAATCATTCATGTCTATATGTATATGTATATGTGTGTATATATACATATATGTACGTGTATATATTTGATTTGTACTTGTTACGATAAACCTGTCAACATGCAGAGCAAAAGCCAAGGTTTTGGAGTGAATTTAAGTTGGTTGCATAAAAGTTACATTTCTGGTTTTTGTTCCTTTGTGAGATGCTGAAGGGTGGTGGAGGGTGGCCGGGGGCATTGGAGTCCTGGGTGGAGGGGTCTTGGGTGGGCGGGCGTGGCGGTAAACATTCCCGGTGTGT